TGAAGGCGGAAGTCAACTCTATCGACTGAGAGGTACTGTGGAGATGTTTGACCATGAAGGGAATACCGAGAAAGTACAATGCACTAATAAACATACTCTACTAGGACTCAAGTAATCCGGTAAGAGCCTACGGAGTTTTTAATCTAAAGTGATGATAATCAGTGATGTCTATCAGATAGGCCCATTGTCCCAATTTCCGTTTAGTTTTGTTATAGATGTACTAATGGATTTAACTCTAACTGACTTCAGCTGCTTAGGGATTGACTTGCTACCAGAGAACAGTCTTGTTGACTTAGTAATCCGGAAGATACAGTCCTTCTAGATGAAGACGCTTGCAAAATGCAGAGTCTCCTGAACACTTTCAGCAGCAATCTTCGAATGTTTGGCATGCAATTCGCTTCTGTCAAATGTAAGTTGATGCTACAGGACTGGACTGGACTGGATTATATCCACTCCTAGCTGGGTTAAAGATAGGATGGAGTGAAGTGGTAAAATTATCCCCAGCGAGTTGATCGATGACGAAATCCCCTTCCACGGATACAAAATGCTCGTTTGACAGACGTGATATCCGGCTGGTTATCGATCAAAGGATGTGTGTACTGCTCAGAAGCAGTTCGCTCTGTCCTCCTTTATGCCTGTCGGTGAGACATGGCCATTGAAAGTGGAAGACATGAAAAGGCTGACTGGCTATCTGTCTTTGATCATAGGTGTTTGTGTTGTCTCTCCCATGTTAGGTGGTACTTGTTATAGGGTGAGTGATATCGAGGTTGGGCACCCGGTGTTAGGTAAGGAGGGAAAGTGAGTCAATGATGCTGTGAAGGTGAATTGATTAAGATGGCTTGGATATGTGCTCTACCAACACTGGACGAAGATGCTGAGGCACAAATGTTGGCATCCCAGTTTATGGAGAGTGTTCCAGAACACATATCCCAACAGCTACATCTGGTTAACGCCTTACAGCCACTGGACATCGGGGAGCTTGCGAAGGTGACCAGACAACTGTCAAGTAAGACGGTTGCAGCGGTAGAGCCACCAAAATCCAAGCAGTGTGAGAAACAAATCGAAGAGTTGCAACGTGAAGTGGCCGTGCTGAGACTGAGCGTGCGGAGAGACCGGTGTTTCGCATGTGGCAAACTGGGGCACTGGAGAGACCGCTGCCCGGAGAGACGACAAAGAAGAATTTTTAAAAGATATACTGTGTCTTCTCCCTGTGTTCTGAGACTTGAGGTAATAGGGGCGGTGGAGAAGGGGGCAATATATTCGAAGTTACGGGTAAATGATCGCGAGTTGGTGTGTTTAATCGACACAGGGGCTGCAGTCTCACTCGTAGATAGCAGTCTATGTGAGAGTATAAGACCGTGTTCGTTGACAGTGCAGACAGCAGGCGGTCACGTGTTAAGAATCGCGGGAGTTTCAGACTGCAGGGTTAGAAATGGAGAGGATTGCGTGACGTTCCCATTCCTGGTTGTACCTGAATTGCGCCGAACAATCCTTGGGGCCGACTTTTTGCGAGAAGTGGATGCAGTGAATAACATGAAGAAAAGGGTTGTCGTTACGAAGTACGGGTGTTTTAGCATGCACGAAAATAGTGAGGTAGCAGGGATTGCGGCATCGGAAGTCCGAAGTATAGCAAAGTTACTCAGCAAATACAACCATCTTTTCACTGGAGAGGGAGATCCGTACGGCTACTGTGATGAAGTGAAGCACGAAATTCCAGTGACAGTCGAGGAAGGGAGACCATTTGTTACTCGAAGAGTCCCGTGTCATTTAGAAAGCGAGGTTACAAGACAGGTCGAGGAGATGTTGAGGGATGACATTATTGAAGAAGCCGATAGCCCGTATAGTTCTCCAGTGCTATTGGTGAAGAAAAGCAACGGGAAATACAGATTTTGTGTTGATTTCAGACAATTGAACAGTATAACAGAGCTGAGACCATGTGCAATGCCAACAATAGCGGAAACTTTAGATCACCTACAAAGTGCGAAGCTGTTCACAGTCTTGGATCTGCGATCGGGGTCCTGGCAACTGCCTATGGAACGAGGAGATAGAGATAAGGCGGCGTTCTTTGTGGGACAAAAACAATATCGGTTCAAACGCATGCCTTTTGGATTGACAGGTGCTCCATTTACATTTAGACGATTAATGACGTTGCTACTCGGTGCGTCGGTGGCACAGTGGTTAGGACTCTCGCCGACCATGCACATGGTCCGGGGTTCGATCCCCTGCCGGCGCACATCCGATATCTATGGTCGGCCTGAATTTGGGCTACCGATATCCATGCTGAAAGTTCCATACTTGTACTGAAAATACGGTGTGGAATCAAGCTGTAAATCAAATTTTAAAAAAATCAAATACTCAAGAATTTGAGGAACGTCGAAGTTTATGGAGATGACCTAGTGATATACAGTACGAGGGAGACTGACCACGTCGAGCATGTAGAGGCAGTTCTAAAACGCATAGAAGATTTCGGTTTACACATCAATAAGGAGAAATCTCAGATTGCTAAGAAGAACGTTACGCTTTTGGGTCATAAGGTGGGAAATGGCGAGATAACACCGCCACCGGATAAAAACTTAACCGTCAAGTCCATTGCGCCCCCGAATTCGAAAAGGAAATTAAGACAGTTTCTGGGGAGAGCGGCGTTCTACAGTCGATTCGTGAAAAGCTTCAACAAAGTAGCGGCCCCGCTCTACCGGCTATTAGGCGAGTCAAAGTTTGTCTGATCCGAAGACTCGCAGAGAGTATTTAACCACATCAAACAGATGATGGGTCACCAGAGAATGACGCAGCGACTACCGATACCGGGAGAGCCGTTCATAGTGTCTACACACGCTAGCGATTACGGAATAGGTGCAGTACTCAGACAGGGTGACGGAGTCGTCGAGTACGCCAGCCGTGTTTTAACGCACACAGAACAGAAGTATTCAACAATCGAGAAGGAGTGTTTGGCGATTGTGTGGGCGCTAGACAAATGGGGACCCTATTTACTGGTTCAACGTTTCCACGTAGAGACTGATCATAAGCCGTTGCAGTGGCTGAGAACCGCCAAAGACCCACGTGGGAAGTTGTCACGATGGATGCTGCGCCTGCAAGAGTACGATTTCACGATCTCTCATGTTCCAGGAGAAGAGAATGTGTTACCGGATATTTTATCTAGAACAGAAGAGGTAGAGTTACCGGAAATAGCATATGGTGTAAATGCCTTAGAGCAGGACCCAGCAAGACTTGTCCAGATTCAAAGATCAGACGACACCTTGAAAACTGTCATACAAGTGATAACTAACGAAAAAAAGGTGAATCGGCCCACAGCGAACCGTGAGCTAAATCTCCTACTCAAACAAAAAGACCGGCTAAGCTTGAATGCCTGCGGAATGTTGACGTGGCGGGAGGATGACGGAAGCCGCTTAGCAGTAATACCTCAGTGTCTGCGCCAAGAGATGATACAGGAATGCCACCAACTAGCTCACACAGGTGTTGCCAGAACGAACGATCTCCTGCGAAAAAGCATGTACTGGCCAGGTATGAGAGAAGACGTTGAGAAGTACGTAACAGCGTGTGCGCAATGTCAGCTGATGAAAGGTGATCAGTACATACGACCGTCACCGCAGTCAATCCCAGTGACAGCAGTAGGCGACCTGTGGTCAGTAGATGTAATGGGACCTTTTCCACAAACGTCCAATGGCAATCAATATCTTCTGGTCATGACAGAACATGCAACACGATGGCTAGACGCAGTCGCGATCCCTGATCAACGCGCAAAAACGGTCACAGAAGCAGTGGTGCGACATATCGTTGCAAATCACGGTGTGCCAAAAGCGATATTGACAGACCAAGGTCCGTGTTTTGAAAGCGAAGAGTTTAAAGTCCGGCTGCAAGAGTTAGGTATCAAGAAAATTAGAACAACGCCATATCATCCACAAACAAACGGACTGACGGAGAGAAATAACCGCACTCTGAAAGAGTGGCTGGCCACAAAGGGCGGTAACTGGGAGACAGAGCTTCCACTGATTCTGCTAGCACATCGTGCGTCCGCGCAAGAAACGACGAAGAAAGCACCGTTTCAGTTGATGTATGGGAGGAAACCACGACTACCGATACATAACAAGACCTGGCCCCTCCATCAGCATTGGAGTATGACGAGATGGCGGACGGAGCGGAAAGAAGCCATCAACAACGTAAAACGAAAGCAGAAAGTGGACGCTGTGAAAGCCGAACTGAGAGTAAAGGAGAAGTACCCCGCATTCGAGATCGGAGATCAAGTCAAATGTAGAGATAGGCGAAACACCGGTGGATACGCGCCAGGGTCGCGGAAACTGCTACCAAAGTGGGAAGGACCATACACGGTCACCGCGAGACGGGGGCACGTATATACCATCAAAAATGCAAAGAGAGAGAAGCGGGTGAACATCAGCTAGCTCCAGAAATGGATAGAGCGAGACAAGCCAACGATGACGCCAGCACCAAGAAGATCAAGCCGACTTCAGTCCAAACTATTTGACTGGGGGACGAGTGTGGTGAGAGCTGTCTACTAGCCAATTGGTTGACAGTAATTGAGGTCAATGTTTATGTATCAAATATTAGTCATGTTGTGGTGAGAGATGGTTTCTAGCCAAATTGGTTGACAGTAATTGAGGTCAAAGGTCAAGATGGACAGGCGGATACAGTTAACATATAGATGAACTGACACAGCCACAAGAGATGCAAGGTTAACTTTGTGTGAGAAAACAACCAATCAACAGACTGTATTTTCTACTAACATTAACCTACAATAATGTACATCAAAATCTATAAATACGTGTTGATTTTCCGTAATAAACGTTCTGTTGCCTGGCCCTTGTCTTCTGTTGTTACAAAACTACACACAGGATTAATGAGGACATTTGAGGTAAATAAGAATGTGAATTCAGTCAAATATGTGAAGTTATATTTGTAATTTTGACATAACCATGATACTGTCATCATAATGTATACCCCTTTTTCTAAACTGTCTATTCATTTAGCCAAGTAAAAATATTTCAACAAGTCAGAAATCTTTTAATCGTCAACTGAAATCATTAAAGAATGTGGACAATCCAAATTTATCATCTCGTTGTTCAGAGGATGGATCTAATGTCAAAGAAGGGAATGAAGACGGAGAAGAAGAAGAAGAAGAAGTAGAAGATCAGGAAGACGGTGCTAATCGTAATCATGATGACAGTATTGAAGATGACAGTGATGATAATAATAATAATAACAATAGCGGTGAAGCCGTTGGAGATAACACTTTTTTTCTCATGGAACAAGACAGTCTTTCACAGCACTACTCAACATCTGCCTTATCGAACTTAGCTTCTTCAGATGCTTTTGGCAGTTGTATATCTCCAACAATGTTAGCAGCTGCTGCTATGGCAGCGCTAACCAGCGGATGTTTTCCAGGGCCTTGTAATATGGCGAATCAGTTCAATCCCCTGCTAGCCACTAAGCCTTACGGATTTCCATCATATCCTTCAAATTTAAATTTAACCGCTAATTCACAACGTACACAATTAACAAAACAGCAACAACAAACTACACCATTTACACATTCATCATTGAACAGAAATTCAAAAATGAGTCATAATATTAATAATTCAATGTCACAACAATCGAATCTACCTAATACAGATACAATGAATATGAGCAGTTTATCATCGCATTCTCCAATACATTCAGTACACAACAGTAATAAATCTTTACAGGATGATTTAATAGGTCAAGATTACAGTACAAATTTATCCCATCATGATACTAATAATAATATTAGTAGTATGAATTTAAATCAGACACCACCACCTCCCTTGTCTCGATCTAACAGCCCAACTCATCAATCCAACCGTTTGATGACGACATCAAATGACCTAGCGTATATGTCAATGGATGATGGTGATGAGGAGAATGACGATGAGATGGGAAGTGAAGAAATCGAGGAGGATATGGAGGCCGAAAATCCTAACCAACAAAGTGGGAATCATCAATGGACATTTGAAGAGCAATTTAAACAAGTAAGTCAGTTACACGCAATTTATGTTTTGTAATTCCTGAATATAAGGTGAATTGATATAGATGATGTATTTGGCGGAATGTTCATGTTGTTTATGGGAGCCATAAGTAACCGTGTCAGTAGAACTCCAGTTCACTTCCTGTATGCAGCTAGTCACTACTGAGAATCAGATTAATTATCAGCTGTTGGCTCCAGTGTTTCTCTGAATGATGTCAACTCGTGGTCGAACTAGTAACCAATCAAATCCCAGCAAACCAACACTTGATAACTGTATAGTGTATGAAACGGTCAAAATGTTGTATGCACGTTGTTAACTGAGATACACTCAGACTTATTTTAACCTTAGAAAAAGACTTTAAAGTTAGTTAGTAGGAATTCCTGAATTTAGGTCTCTTGATTACTGAGATTAGTCAACAAAGCGCACTCTTCAATAATTCCAACCTGTGTTACTCACTTTTTGTTTTATTCCTTCACGTTCTCAGTGGAGCATAATGCTTCAAGCGAGAGGCTTGAAGTTTCTGTAGAAGTGTTTATTTTTACAGGATGGGGTCGCTAGCTTCATGCCCAACGTTTCCTCTTTACCAGCTTTATTTCTGGCTCAGGGAGGCAAAGGAGTGCGTCAGCTGGGGATCGTACTCCGGACCATGTGCATGGTCGGCATGCGTCCTAACCGCTGTGCCACCGACGCACTACTCAATACCGAAGTCTATATTTTGTTATTCGAAACCTCAGATATTCTATAGATCTATGACTGGTGCACACTAAGTCGTTGTCAATAAGTTGGACCGATTAGAAGACTCTAGAGGATCTGGATCTCGCGGATGATTTATGTTTAATGTCACACAAACTCCAAAACCTACAGGTGAAAACCAACAAACTGACAGAAGAAGCAGGTAGGGAAGACAGGAATTCATGTGAATATAGAGAAGATGGGGGTGATGAAAATGCTCAACCAACAACAACCAGCACCAGTCACTATCAACGGGAGATATTTGACAGAGGTCACTTCCTTCAATCATGTAAGAAGCATCGTTTCAAATATAGGCGACAGCACGGATGAGGATGTCAAACCCAGAATGGAGAGGTAAGACAAACCTTCATTAATCTGAAATCACTTTGGAAGCCTGCTGCATTCAGCATCATAAACAAAATTCTTATTTCCAACACCAATGTTAAGTTAGCCAGTTCTTCAGTATGGGCCAGAAACTTGGCCAGCGCATTTCATTTCTAACAGGCTACTGCACACTTATCAACAGCTTCCACATCTGGCTGTATACTGAAGATTAGATAGTCAGGAGGAATTATCGAAAAGAAACTCTGGGAATGAATCAACCAAGAAGTTATCACCTAACATCGGGTGGCAGTGCACGCCAGACCATCTCTTGAGTAGGACCCGAATGAGAAACGACGAGTTGTGCGTGTGTTTCCAAGGGTAACATAGGGGAGATAGTGTGAGGAGTAGATGAGAGACTGTGGGCAATTGTGTAGCCAGCTAAGGCTGATTGCAGAGAACAGTCATTGCACGGTGAAACCATGATATACTTTAACCTAAAGGCCTTTCTATCTCTTCGTAATGAAATCATTTGGTCTACATATCAACCACGTTGATCACACTGTCACTATGATTCCTAGATAAGGTTGCTAGAAGCGGATGATGACAGTGTTTACATCACGCTAACATTTAAGTGAAAAATGGTTAAGTACCAACTAATGCACTAAGTAATACAATTTGATGATTCCTTAACAAGACAAAAGATTAAAAGAAGAAATGTATTATTAGCTACCCTTGGTAAATCTTACGCCTTATTGATTATCTGTAAACAAAGAGGAGAAGAAAATGTCAATGGAAGAGAGAGAGAGAGATTTAAATTATCATTCTCCTCCTCCTCATCCTCCTCCCTCTTTTTACCACAGCATAACTCCCTTTCCCTTGTGTGTAATGCAGAAAAAAAGAAGAAGAAATGATACTCCTTATAATCACATACGTTCATCAAAAAACAAAAAGTCATAATTATACTGGTTCTACTACTATTACTGATAATAATAATAATAATAATAATAAAGGAGTATACCTTGAATATAATTTGAATTATTAATTAATATTGTTATTAATCTCTGGTCCTATTTTATTTCATTAAATGATTTACCCACACTTTATATGATGCGGCATAAAACTAAACCTCAGATATTGAGTAGTTTGAGTACTACTCAGTACGTACCTAGTAATGACACACAGACATAATAATGAGCGTGCAGTCCTGATTTTTATAAGAGGGTGCTCAGGTACTTGTATATATATCAAATCCCACAGGAAACATATGAATATATATATATATATATATATACATATAAGACTCATGGGACTCTTAAATTTACTTCTGAGTTATCACAGATTTATGAGTAGTATACATAATTTATACATAAATCATAAAGTGTATTTAATTATTGTACATTGATAACAATAATCATGATAGTAATAACAGTAAAAATTTAAATATGAATTAAATTTTATTGCTTATTTTTCAATATTTTGTAGGGACTTGAGTATGTTTTTTTTTCACATGCCTTTATAATTATAAAGGTAACTTTCCAAACTAGGACGGTGGAACCAGCTAGCTACAGCTGTCCAGTACTCCAATACTGGTTTTCAGTGATTCTCCCAGTGACATCAACCCATGGTTAAACTTGAAATCAACTTCTTCTCGTCAGTTTAGTAAAGAGTGATGATTAGAAATGATGAATTCTCCTGGAGAGATATTTCATCTTCTCCATTACCTCATCAAAAAGTTTAAAAGTCTAACACTTTAGGCAAAGCTCACTAGTCTTTAGCTTCTGACTCGGTCATCATTTCACTGTGATGATCATTATCTCTCTTTAATTATTCGTTATTTAACTGCTCCGAAGCTGTCACTGATGTCTGTCGATTCGGTAATGAAGAGGAGTGACACGACAGTGTGCTATATTTTGTTTCGTGCAATCAGGGAGTCTTAATCCACCTAATTTTTTTTTACCATTTTTGGTGTTCATCGTGAATTAAAGGATATCTCTGATGTTCCTTCCAAAACTTGAATCTGGCTGACTCGGTGTCAAAATGGGACGCATTTTTACTAGCAGGTGATGGTCGTTTCACTGAAGCGATGAAATTACATGCAGACACACTAAGTAGTGTCTATTGATATGAGAATAAAACTTGTGCACTGTGGTAGAGTATAACTCCATTATGGATAAAAATTTTATTTTGATAAAATCACACAGTGTTATACAGTAGTAATATTTACTGATGACGTTTCGAGCACAATTTACTGCTCATAATCATATCAAGGTAATCACACAACTTCCTAAATTCATTTATATAGTTCACTTGATTTTCACTTGATTTGATTGGTAGTATTATTTTCCATATTTCGGGTATGAGTGATGAATCATTCCTATTGCATATGTTGGGTGCAGACTCGATGAACAAGGATTCAGTAATCAACCTCTTTCTCCACCTACCTAGATTACTTTTTAGAATTTTAACCCTATCCCACCCTATTGTGTGGTTGTGTGTTAATGCATGCATTGCAATTGCTGAGCTGTTTTCTAAATTACTTATCTTCTCTGGGTCAACCATTCTTACCTTAGCTAAATTCTTATGTTCTGACAATCTGACTACCCCTGACCTACTAGTTTGACCTATGTAGGTCACCTCAGCAATTGCAATGCATGCATTAACACACAACTACATACTTTTTAGTAACCTTTCGTTTTCAAAAGACTCCTCTAATTAACTTCGGTCTGTGAAATCAAATAAAAACCGCATTATAAATACACCATCTAGGTGTTCGTAACTTAGTCTTACATGTCGTAGCATGTGTAGCTTAAGACTACGTATGATATCCAGATGTTGGGAATTGCCAACTGGAAAATATTTTGGAAAACAAAGAGTGTACATTTGTTCTATCTAGTTTAAAACTGAACAATAAACTCAATGGGAGACCACCCTCCACCCCCTTTCCATCTCCGCAAAGGATGATTAAATTCCGTATTGGATGCTTGTTTAGATCCAGTTTTTCTCTTCGAATTCTGTCAACTCCTCATGGAGTATTATCTATGGGAATTATATTTTATTTCCCTGTTGGTTTTTTTTATTACAGCTTGATTCCACACCGTATTTTTCGGTACAGGTATGGAATTTTCAACATGTGATATCGGTAGCCCAAATTCTGCAGGCCGACCATAGATATCAGGTGTGCGTCGGCAAGGGATCGAACCCCGGACCATGTGCATGGTCGGCGAGAGTCCTAACCACTGTGCCACCGACGCACATTCATTCCACTGCACTAAAATGCTCAATCTACGTGGACATGTTTCACTACGAGCACTTGAGATTCAGATAAATCTAGATGAAGGGTGTCAGTATACGACTAAATAAACATCTCAGATTTCACTGTCAGTCATCATGAATCAAATAACATCACGTTAAGCCATCGTCAAAGCATCCGACATGTCAACAGACATGGGACATTTCAATGCAGTGAAATCAGTCGACGGTAAATTCAGAATAATTGACAATTCCCATTGTAATAAGAACAAATTAGTTCAGCGAAGAGTCTCTTTGCGGCGAATTCATTCACTTAGCTGTACAGTCGCAAATATATACAATTATTTTGTGTGTGTGTGTGTGTACATTAGGTTTGTCAAAATCAAAATAACAGTTAGTGTGGGTTGTTGATTATATCATCAAAATAATGTGTGATTAATAATCAAAGTTGTAACTAAGTGGGGTGAAGATTGGTAAGATGTGAGTAGAGTTACATCATCAAAATAATAAAGAAATTAAAATGTGTGATTAATAATCAAAGTTGTACTAAGTCATCAACATTTTGTTATCAAATTTTTTGCAATTTTCGTATAACAATTTTTAGTAACTAACCCATTCAATCTTTTCACCTATTATCTAGTTTATTTTCATAATTGTCTCCATACTCCTTCACTAGCATCTAATCTTTCTAAACATGTCTATATTACGTAACCCTACTCACATCTTACCAATCTTCACCCCACTTAGTTACAACTTTGATTATTAATCACACATTTTAATTTCTTTATTATTTTGATGATGTAACTCTACTCACATCTTACCAATCTTCACCCCACTTAGTTACAACTTTGATTATTAATCACACATTTTGATTTCTTTATTATTATGATGATGTAATCAACAACCCACACTAACTGTTATTTTGATTTTGACAAACCTAGTGTACACACACACACACAAAATAATTGTATATATATTTGCGACTGTACAGCTAAGTGAATGAATTCGCCGAAAAGACTCTTCGCTGAACTAATTTGTTCTTATTTCAATGTCTTAATGGGTATATTTCGCGAATTCCCGTTGTAACATTAAGAACTCAGTACTCAGCGAGGAGACTTTTTTCAATGAATTTATTATCAAGCTGTACAAGTGTAACTTATTTTAACTTTACACAACAAGGCGTGAGATCTGATGATACAGAACTGAACATTGAAAAACATAATTTGATATAGAATGACAAATGGGACAAGTGGAAGCATTTCAAAGTGAGAATAGTAGTAGTAATAATAATTATAATAGTGGCAATGAGAGAAAGGTGCATAGATTAACTAAATAAACAAAAAATAATAATGATCCACAAATATCTATCCCTCTATGGTCAAAGCAGAAATAGGGATTTTACATACTTCTTTTGTGCACAAAGGTCTGGCTGAATTTCATGAATGAATAGCCAAGGCTTCCACTGTCTTTAGAAGTTTATAACAAAGATGAATTTTCTAGATGATGATCTTAAATTGATGGTCGTTGATCAAGTGTTCTATAATGAATAGAGCTTCACATATCCTTCCTTACCGCCTTGTAAAACTATGCTGGAATATGTTCTCATATCCGTATGGAAAGAGTTTTATCCGGCTACGGTTAATGTACCTTCGGTCGTTGTCCTTTACTTAGATTTTACTGGGGATTATATTACATACTGTGACTAGATGAAGAATGTATATATATATATATCAGACTGGGATGAACAGTTGTCCATCTCCCACTGGGTTTCTCCTCTTCTATTAGCTACTGCCACTAGTTCACTATAAATCAATCAGTCCTTTATGGTAACAGCGACAACTTCTACTACAACCAAGATTAAATATAGCTCCCTTTTTGTGGTTAATTAAATCTGTCTGTCATTATGAACATATATATGTAGGGAGAGGCGCCTAATTAATTATCAGAATCATGAATAACAACAGTATTTTTACTATTCTTATTACTATTATTATAATTATAGTTATTATTTTGATGAAAACGATGACTATGGTTGCTATGATTAATTATTTTCTGAGTCTGTTTTCGTATGTCAAAGTAGTTAGTGTTGACTTTTATTTGCCCATTCCCCCCCTCGACCATACTACCATCCATCCATCATTCAACTGACATGTTCGCTATGCTAGCAAGTGATTTCTACTGTGTAATCAGAGCATAGTTGGGTAACAGTTTGATTTTCCAGCTAAGTGATGATAATTTGTGGAAATGGAGGATGGGATGGAAGACTATACACAGCACTCACCTACAGACTCCAGTGTCGCATGAATGTATACTGTGTTTACTGATCCGAAGGACTAGCTTCTCTAGACATGTTCACATTATTTATTATTATTCCCTTGGGTTCCAAGTGGAATATAGGACTTCAGTAGCACATCTCTACTTTATCCTGTTGTCTGCATTTCCCTTCAGCTGGCTTCATGTTTCACCATAAGCTTTCATCTCCTCTTCACGCGATCTACAGACACACAACTGGTCATTTCCCATTCGGGTTCCACTCGAGCGATTGCCTGGCTCACGATATCAATGGGCGGTCTTTTCAACGTGTGTTTGATCCATCTCCATTTCCCTCTGCATATTTTTTGGTTGATTCGTCTCCACACACAGTTCCTTCCTGGCTGGCTATGTGATCTTCAGTATAAAGCGAAGAAAGCCGTCGATGAAAGGTCAGGACGTATTGGAAATGCTTAAGGTGACACACTTGCCAAGTCTCTGATTTATATAGAACGACTGATTGACTTAACATTGATGTAAAAAATCCAAATTTTGTTGTTTATGCTGAGTTAATGTAGAAGATTTCCAAACTCATTTCAGAGTGATGAAGATTTACCTTGCCTTTCCAATCCATACTGAATCTGACATCCTCAACCGTTCTGTCGCCTGCAGTTGGAACGATGCCTCCTGGCTAGATAAGTGAAGGATGTGATCTCTCTAAAATTTTTCCCGTCGATAGTAACTGGTGCTCGTTGTTGTTAATCACTTCTGCTTTCTCTATGTTCACTTGAAGTCTTGTATTTGCTGCCTGCCTCTTCTGTCAACTTGTTGGTTTTCTCCTGTAAACCTTCGAGTTTATGTGATTTTAGACATAAATCATCCACAAAGTCCAGATCTTCAAAAGTGTCTTTATTGGTCCAACGTACTTTTCTGTCTTCTCACACCTCACAGTCCATCAATTTTGATTAACTCTAGGAACTCTAGGATAGTTTGAAAACTTCATTGTTTAATTTAGACTTATCGATACATTTCAATCAAAGTATCACATGAAATCTGGGAGTTTTCGACAGCTATATAGTCTTAAATCTAAAATCTTTAGAAGTCTGACAACAGTCTCAACAAAGCTGAATCGTAGTACCTTAAATTTACGAGGCAACCAAACTGGAGGAGTGGAAACACTCAGTCCACGGTGGGGACAGATACTTATCAGTAACATCATATGACAGTCATATGACTCAAGTAAAAAGTAACCAGCTGACTAAATAATTAAATGGTAAGTTAACCTCTCAAAAATGACTGATAGACCTCAGATGATAATGAGTTGAAATAAAATCTACCGTCAAATCGATCAAACTCATACAAACTGAACATCTAACACGGTTTTCAAGTGTTTGTTCATAGGGATTCGATTTGTTTCAAGTTTGACGATGGATTCACATCAGTCAGGGAGTACTGGAGTACTGGACAGCTGTTTCTGTCGTTCTAGTTTGGGACTCATCAGCAATACTGGGTTCGAAACCTGGTGGATCCGTACGGACGATAAGTCCGAATCTAGGACAGACAGCTGTCCAGTACTCCACTACTGGTTTTCAATAGTTCTCCAACTGACATCATCAATCCATGATCAAACTTGCAACAAATCTAACATAGTTGTTAAAATTCACCATCCAGATTGAATAAACACTCCTAAATATTATCACTCCTACCTGGGAAGCATCGTTTCAACTACAGGAGAACATAACTGACGAGGATATCAAAGCAAGAATCGGAAAAGCAAGACAAGCTTTCACTACTCTCAAGTCTGTGTGGAGGTCAACAACTCTCAGCATCGAAAATCACCAAGATCCGGATTTTCAACTCCAATGTGAAGTCAGTCAGTGCTACTATACGGATCAGAGACTTGGCCAGTGCATCATAAAGAGCATCTCAAACAAACTACAGACCTTCATTAACAGTTGTCTTCGCTCAATACCACTCAAGATCAGATGGCCGGCCAGAAAAGATCAGCAACAGGGATCTCTGGCAATGAGCGAACCAACCCAGAAGGAACCGATTGTGAAACAAATAGGCAGGAAGAAATGGAGATGGATTGGCTGGCCATACTCTGAGCAAACCATCAAGTGACATCACTAGACAAGCGATTGCTCGAGTGGAACCCGAAAGGGAAGTGGCGAGTTGGTCGTCAGTGCGAGGGTGGGGTGACTTGGAGGAGGGGATGTGAAGAGGAGATGAAAACGTGTGGGCAGAATTGGAGCCAGATGAAGACTCTAGCAGAGAACCAAACGCAATGGAGACGCACGGCTGAAGCCCTATGTTCCTCTAGGAATTAAAGGAAACAATAATAATAATAAATATTATCATATTAAATGACTGATATCGAATATTGGGGATAAAAGTGTGCTTCATCCTTCTGCAGATATATTTTGATGATGTAATTTTCATTTTCTTTTTTTTTTCTGTAAATTTAGTTATATGTGATATCAGATGATCCAAAGCGAAAAGAATTTCTTGATGAACTTTTTGTTTACATGCAAAAAAGAGGTGAGTGAAGTTCATTTTAAGTATAATTAAGTATCATTATTAATTTATTTCGATCAACTTTAAGAATAGCGACCATGGAGTGAGAATGCACCAGTGACCTTGAATGTATGCCGTTCATTGCAGAACAGAACCTGACGTTATTACAGCACCACCAGTGTGAACACTGAGCATGATTTGAGGTGTAAATTTCATCCTGATCTCTTTTTTAAATCCTGTTTGGACACAATGGCTTGATAACACGTTATGGTGAGGATTAGCATTAGGCTTTGGGTTAGGGTGTTTAATTATTGTCTGTATTTTTCTAGTAAATAAATATATGGGAGAAGAGTATTTCCTTGCTCATATAGATAAAGCTGTTTTGATATCCATGAAACTTGAAAACTGATGCCCATTATTGGGAAGTATTTTCCAGTTACGTCAGGGCAAAATGTCCTCTTTAATAAGGTTTATTTATTATCATTATTATAATGTTAATTTTTCTGGTAAATAAGCGGTTTTTTGATGTAGAATACACGGCAGGTTCTGTAATCCAACATATGATATGCGTTGAAGGTCGTCATTGGTGCGTTTGAACTCCATGGTCGTTATTCTTCATGTCTGCCCTTCTTTCTTATTTTAATGATGCTGATTATAGATGAGATTTGATTCGGTTGATTTTATATTGAAATTCATTACTAATAGACATTGACAAATAACTCTCTCCTCCTCTGTGGCGCGTGTTTTGCCCTATTCGGGAATGTGTCTATTTTCTCAGTGAATGTTGGTGTGTGTACCCATGAAGATTCTAATGCATTACCCATTGTTTCAAATGCCAGAGAGGGAACACCATTACCCAATAGTTCGGCGGTCAGCTACCCAGCCTTCCATTTGTCATTCTATCGTCTTTAATTCGGTCCAAAGTTTATCCAAAGTCTCTAGTCAACTGAGTTCTTACCGCCTCTTAGCAATACTGATCCTGATATATAACTCGTAGTTTGAGCGGTTGAACTGGCGTTCTGTTCTGGCTTACTAATTGTTCTACGGTCCAAGTAGAGTAAGTACATTTGTAGGGGGTGCAGGGTGGGACGGGAGGAAAAAACGCATTATATTGTGTTATCACTTCCCCTTAGGAGTGACACTTTCATCACAGAGGGGTTCGAACCCATTAGCTCCTGGTTAGAAGTCAATCTAGTAGACTATTTAGTCACTGGGACCCAACTCAATGACCAGCGCATGAATTGCAACTTCTGCCAATTTGTGACATATTTAGTGTGATTGGTACCAGCCAATGTCATCCATGGCGAGTATTTGTCCCCGCCCTCTGATCTGTTGCATTCTACTGGTCACGACTGGTCTCATTAGAACTCACTCCAGTCAACTTCTTTCTGCAGTCAGTCAGTAGTCACACTAACGAGGATCAGATTAATCAAGTCCCTACAAACTAACTCTATTGGAAATCAATTGTTAGGAAAGATCAAAACAAATTTCACTAGGCATATCATTGTTTTAACAAAACAAACGAAGCGGTGAAAACAACATGTGACATTTTTTGTGGCTAATGCAAGCAAAGTATTGAACATTGAACTACTTAAAACAAAACAAAAAATGCAGTCATAACTGGTAGGTAGGTTAGGTAGGTAAACTTTTTGAAATACGTGCGCGTATATAACATTCAAGGTGATGACCATATTGAGAAGAAATTGATGTCTACTAGTGGAAGTGATTGTTAATTTCTGTTTATTCGATATCAGCGGGATACTTAATATATATATATATATATATACGCATTCGTATATTCATATTTTACAATCTATGCTTAATAATGCTGATTAAGAAAGATTATGGATAAGCATGTTTATTGAGATTAGCGTTATTATAAATTATCGAAGAATATATATATATATACTGTTGAATACAGTTTGACTTCAGTTTTGTGAACACACGTGTGCACGAGTTTGTGTATGTGTAGATTATACTTACTATTTTCATGTAAATATAAAATACTGTGACTGTCTGGTTTCACTGAACAATGATTGATACTAACTAACTAACTAACCAGTTGAGTGACTGCATGACTTGCTGCCTGACTAGCTGACAGACTGAACGTATAAAACGTGATAATAGAAATCAGATTGTAAAAAAGAAAGAAAAACTAGTTATACACTTTCACAGCAGGATTCCCTTTTTAAAGGGAGTTTTTTCCCTTTCCAGTACATCTGTATATGAATTATTGTGTAGTATATGTGATAAATGGATGTGAAAAATGGATTTTGTCAAAATGATTTAATAAATAATTATAAAAATATTAATAATAGTGTCACCAAATATATATATAAATATATATTAATCATTAACATACATCTAATTCAAAAATAAATCATATATCCCGCGTTGATTTTATTTTCAAACTTTGATTTAATTAAACGAAAGTTAGTGCATATGTGTATGTCTTTTCATCAACAGTTAATTTCATCCAAACACACACACACACACAAAGATGGTGGCTGAAGGGAAAAAAGAGAAACAGAGTTTTCCTTCTTAATATTTTACACCATTCTGATAAAAATGTGATCGTGGAATATCTTCTGTTTGTCACACACACACACAAACAGACGTGAAAAAAAGACTCGACGACATTCATTTCAACTTTTTTATGTGATTTTTTTTGCAAAGATTAATCTTCAGAGAAATTGTGTGTGTATTTGTGCTACAAGAGATTATTATTATTATTGTTTTTATTATTATTGAGGTTATCATTCATCTTTGTGTATGCAAAGTGTTGTTGATTAGTTCGTGTAATCGAGATTTACCCTTTTCTCCTTGTTTATTTAACCTAAAGATTCTAACTATTGATAAAACATACGCACACATGCACACACACACAGAGAGAAACAGCTTTGATTATTCCTGTGGTTTTCAATTTCACCTTAGACATATAAGTCTATAAGTTTATTTGTGTGCTGTGTGGTGTGGTGTGTTGTGTGCATTCCTATAGATCACAAATTAGACGACATTTGTGCATTTTATTTCAAAATTAAACTTTGAACACATAGAGTGTAGGGGGGAAGTTAGATTTGTTGAGGATTGGCAGTAAATTTTAGTGTGTGAAGGGGGGAGGGGAATCGGAAAGATGCTGCTGTTTGATCACAAAATTTTCGTAGACTCTAAAATGTCTCCAAAATGTAGACGAGAGATATTCTGGTGATGAATGATGAATGATGGTGATAACAATTTTAAAGTAAAACTGGTAAAAGGATTAATTAAAATAATAATAAAAATAATCAAACTGATGAATTGAAGGAAGAGAAGCTTTAGTCTTTTTCGTTTAATCATAAGTACATAAGTAAATAATCAAGTAAATATATAAGCAGACAAATAAGAGCCCTTTCTATTTGTGTAATCAATTTTTAATGATGGAGGAGATAACCCCACCCCACCCCACCCCTCCGCGATGCACAAACACACAAACCTCAACAAGTCCCTTCAGCATGCTACTACTATCACAGTTATCGATAAAAACCAATTTTATTGTCAGCTTATTGAAGCGTAAAAAGACGAATTCAGTGAACACTTTCCAACCCCTCCCCCGCCTACCCAACCCAACTTTATCTGAACTCCTCTACAGTTAGAAGGGATTAACCAATTTTATGCCTAGAATAAATCACTGTAAACACAGAAGTGATAGTTATTATTATTTTTTTTAGAATACTACAATACTACTACTATTATTTTCTACCTTGTGTGATAATGCCATCTTTGATAGTCAATGTTTTATTTGAATTATTGGGAAATAAAATTCCTATCAGACAATGTAAAGTAAGCGATAAGGAGTACATTTCTGTAAGTGTGTTTGGGTGTGTCCGTGTGTGTGTGTGTTAATTTGCCTTTACAGATTATTTAAGATCGCCTTTAGCCACTTTCTCGTCAATAAGATTTATCTATCTCTTCCTCTGTCTCCCTCTCGGATGCACACACTCTTGCTGTTTGTGCATCATCAAAGTATATGATGATAAACTTCTTCGTATAAACAGCTGTGTGTTTGTTTATATGCATCAATGAATGATAAATAAGCTGAAAAAGAGCGAGATTTTTAAATTAACTTGTCACAGAAAATGAATTTATCTATTTTCCTTTCCTTCCCTTTATTTTCTGTAGAAATTTTATCAATTTATAGATTATAACCACAAAAAAATTTATTTTTGTACTGAGAAAGATTATGGTTTTTCTGTTAGAGAAACATTGGGAGACCTAGGAGTATTGGACAGTAGTTTTGTCCAACTTTTGGACTCTTTACAGTGCGCACCCTCTGGGGTTTGAACCTACGACCTTCCAGTTACAAAGCGAGCTCCTAGACTATTCAGCCACTAAGACTCGACTAAATGACCAGCCCATAAATTCTAATTTCTAACACTTCGTGATATAGCGCGACTGGCACCAGCCAATATCATCAGCTGCGAGTATCCGTCCTCACACTCGACCTGCTGTATCCCACTTCTCAATAGAACCCAGGTAAATTATCTACATGAATAAGGCCGTTCCCTAGGGAGCATCAGATTGATATTCAAGTGTTGGTTTTCGGGGATTTGACACCTTTAGTACAATAGTTGGTTCTCATATCTTCAGTAGTGGATCCAAGTCTCAGTAGGAACGACGCCACTCACTGGAAATGCAAGTAAATCCCAGCTGACAAGTTAAAGATAGGACATAAGAGGCTTTCAAGATTCCAGGGTTAGCCAACATCCATTAGATAACATAATAATTGAATCTTTAAATGATTCCAGAAGCGATTGAAACTGAGATTACTGAACAAAAAAGTACTGTTTTCGATCGACCTCTCCTCAAGTTCTAAAGTTATGTAATCAGTGCATTATAGTTATTATTGCTACCTCTTTTAATTGTGGTTAAATCTTGAAGAGAAAGAAATTCGATTTCTGTTTGTTACCTTGGCATGAAGATAACGGGTTCAGAGAAAAGTAGTTTTTTGTAGGCAGAAATGTGAATACTATCGATACAGTGGTGACAAGCCTTTTAACACTTTGTGGATGATCACTAATCTTCTCTGTGAACTGATAGATTCAAAGAATTCTCTAGATGTTCCCTTTTCAGTATAAAAGTTTCCTTTCTAACTAAGAATGACCCCACTGAGTCCAATTCATTAGAAAGGTACTCCAGCAACTTCCAACTATTTAAAGCGTTATCATTCAGATTGAAGGGAGGAAAACACCAAAATTCAAGGAAAACCATTGTCTCAAATTCGCACTAAATTAGTTTCGGAGAAAACGAAGAAATTGTCAGAAGAAACAGGCAGTGAATACATGACTTCAAGTGAACAAAAGTAGACGGAGGTGACAAACATAACCAACAACAGCAAACACCATCAACCGTATAAATTTGAAAGAGGTCTCTTTTGTCACGTATCTAGGCAGCCTCGGTTCAACTACAGACAGACTGTAGGTATGAGAATGTCTAAACCAGCCAGAATAGGAAAGGCAAGACAGGCCACCATCACTCTGAAATCCTTTTGTAAAGCTACTCCACTCCGCCTCAGCTTAAACAACAAAATTCAGATTTTCAACACCAGTGTTTAGTCAGCGGGTCAGTCAGTTCTTCTATTTGGGTCACAAATTTGGCTCATGCGTTATATTTCATCTGGCTTAAAATCCTCATTAGCTCTGTTTCAAAATAGCCAAACTCTAGTCTGGTGAGATCTATCGGTGTTGGGAGATAACGTTTTCAACTTTTCATTTATCAGTACTGTATTGTGCTGCTTTCCTTTATTAGACACCTAACAATGAAGAGTGAAACGGGAAGAAATGGGGAAAGTAAATAATTGAGAATCCAGCTTTATAATTTTACGTTTTAGTTTAAAAAAATTCAGATAGAGTATTACTCAATATTTCCACCGCCTCACTAGCCGACCTGTTTCTATGAATTCCCTCTCTCTGTATTTTTCTCATCAAATAGTCCCTCTTGAATGCAGTATTTGTGTGTATGTGCCTTGGCTTCCCAGTGGAACATGGTTCTTCAACAACACATCTCCATTTTGTCTTGTTTTCTGAAGACTCCTTAAGCTGACTCCAAGATTAATTTCATCTTCTTCTTACACGATTTCATCCATGTTACCCTCAGGAACACATACACACACTCGAATGATGGCCTAGTGCGTGATGTCACCCAGAAGACACCTGAGAGTGTGTCCAATCGACCTCAATTTCCTTCGGGATATCTGTTGAGCAATAGGTTCTTGGTTATTTCTTTGCCAGAGTTTCTTTCTGCTAATTCTTTCTGGACAACCCGCCATCTCATCTTCAGTTAAGACACCTGTTGATAAAAGTCTGCAGTTGCTTGTTCGACATGCTATTCGTGACGCGCGTGTCAAGTTTCTGACCTATAATGAAGGACTGACTGTATTCGGCCAGGTGTCATGTCGGAGGAATTACAGTAAATATGATAACAGTCTATCATATACGTACGCATGATATTCATCCATACGCCAGTAGGAATGCATGCACACAAGCAAAACTGTGCTGATACGCAGAGATAAACAAAGACGTTGTCTGTCAGTCGACCTCACATTTTTCTATATCATCTTACCTGGAATTTGATAAGACAGCCACCACAAGCCAGCTGTGAAACACAGATCTCGGCAATAATTACCATAAGTTCATTCATACTGGTGCCAATCAATATTGGTAATTGTTATTCAGACTAATATTATTTATGTATAATTAACCCGAATGTTTTGTGTTAACATTGAATTGTACGATTGAGTGTATGAATTCAGTTGACTATCTACAGATGGATAGAATGAGACACACGTGTCTTGAAATGATTTACGCTCGTTTATCCTCCCACTTCTTTTCCATACTCTTTATTTTTATTATTTTTTTAAGCAACCTGCTATTTATAAGTCAGCTAGAAGGTGAAATAAATAAATTTAGCAAAGACACTCTCTTGCTTCCCCCCTCCCGCTTCCCCCGAAGAATGATGAATACCCCCCTCCCAATCCCCCTATAACATTGGAGGTTAAATTTTCAGTATCATTAAAATGAAGATTCATTTTGGATACAATTAAAAAGTAGAAATGCTCCATATTTCACATTTACTTATTAACTTGTATGTTGTTACTTTTGATTTAAAAAAAATATTTTACGATGTTTCTTGGGGTGTTTTCTGTGTGAATAAGAGTTGACAAGAATTACAATAACAACAAGACAGACGAAAAATTCACATCTTTTTGTCTCCTTGTCAATTGATGATAGAGATTTAGGTATATTTTCTCTTTCAGTAGACTACATTTGTCGACCTCAGGATGTTTTTCAGCCTTCTGTCTACCTATACCAGCATGGCTAATAATATATCTGTTAACCTGCTTATCCTACCTACCTACCTACTTGCCTACCTACCTATCTACCTACCTATCTACCTCTCTCTCTATCTATCTGTTTGTTTAATTATTCGCCTTTAATCGTAGATTATTATTTGAAATAATTGTCTTTTTTCATTATTATTTCATTTTATGATATTCTTATATTCTTATTTATATTATTTAAAAATATATCTATCTTAATTTTATTCTCTCCTGTGGTACATGCATATATATACATGTATATCTTGAGGGTAATTAAGCATTTATACAGAGGGGGAGGGCGATTTAATAACTAAGGCGTACATGTGAGCACGGCTACCAGACATAATTTTCCCCTGGATATTTCCACAAATTAATGTGAACATTTTTTAAAATCTTCCCTTGTATTATAGTACTGTGTTAATTAGTAACTAAGACAACTCAGATTTATTTTGATGAACATTGCACCTAAACATGTTCATATGTGTACGTTTCTGTGAATGTTTCACTATACTTGTATGTGCATTTGTGAATTGAACCAATTTTTTTTATGAATTTCTCTTAACTTCTCCCCCCCCCCTGTTCTTCTGTCTTTGTTTTACATGCAAAAGAGAATAAATCTTCTTTTTTTATTTTTATTGATTTTGAGATATGTTCAGCGGGGGAAATATTTTACGAAAGTGTGTAAAAATGTATTTTTTTCTTTTATTTGCCTAGATACTTTCATTAATAAAATAAACTAAACTGTATCCTTACCTGCAGTAGTAGTAGGCAGGTTATAATAGGGATCAAAGAGTCTCTCTTTCTTGTATGTATGTATGAATGTGTGTGGGTAAGTGTTGGTTAGTGTAAATAGAAGACTGATGATTGTTAAGGGTGAATGGTGAGAAAGTCTCTATTCCGAACACTAAGTTATGCGCTCAAGTCTAGTTCTTCTGAAGGCATCCCAACATCTAGCTCCAAGACCAATACACACATGTACACACACAGTTTTTGGATAGGACTAGGCAGCTCATTTCTGATAACATATTCTAACCAAGCTGTAAAAATTATTTAAATTGTTATTATGAATCTCGCGTCATTCAAAATATGAAGGTCCTCCTGAGGGTTGTCACTGTAGATGAGTTTAAGAGATTTCCTACGGATCAAAACAGTGAAGTCATTTGAGGTTCTTCAGTCCAAATTGTTTAGTCATTAGAGCTGAATAAATTATATCAATCAAGAAACCTAGGACTATCTATAGTTTCCTACCAGTCACCTTCAACATATATTCAAAGTACACCTGGATGACAGGTAGCCTGACTTGACGACCATATTTATTAACTTGATAGGTGGAGTTTAGCCAACATTAGTGAATCGACGACAGTTTCTCCTCTGAGTTCCCAATTAGTGCACCTTAAACTGAATCTATGTTAATGTCATATTGTTGTCATAATGTCAGTTTCAGATGTGAACAAGACTTGTGTGGACTGACTGATTCAGTAACATGACTCCTGTAATATTCACAACACTGTGTGATAGACACTAAATCGAATATCTCTCATCTCGGAATCATTTTCTCTTCGAATCTCTGTTCGTTCATCGTCTCATATATCTGAGATTTCTAACAAAACATTTTCCTTTGACTTATTACATAGGGATGTTGAGAATTTCTGTTGGCACAAATCAACCTCTTCTCTTACAGTCGATTAATTCATGTATTCTGTCCACTCTTCTTTATTGTTCCTCACACTTATTCTTCTGTGGTGGACTTCTCATCGAAGACTATGTCATTATCTATTACGTCGGAGATTGAAGTCTGTGAGCGAGGAGGGTTAGTGGTGTGTGTGTGTGTCATCGACTCAACTAACTGATATTGTTGTTGTTGTTTTTATTGTGGATAGGCGTTTTAGCTCTTATAAGCAGTTGGTTGAAGTCATCTTGTCTCACAACGAACATCCTCTCCACTTCAACTTCTCAACTATTTCATTGTATCTGTGAGGGGTCGAAACCAGAATAAATTTCATGAGAATTTATGCTCATACAGAAATCCAACCACACCATATTTAGCATGGGTTTTGTGTGAAGAGAGAGTCGAATGAATGTCAGAAAAGAGCTCATAAACTTTTGAAATCATTAACTGAACTGCAAATTGAGTATAGGCAAAGATTACTATTATTACATGTATTATCTATGCTATTATCTATTTGTAATTCATTATGTTTCCGCCAACCTTCAATATTTTATGATTTTATTATTATTAATTTTTTCCACTTTCTGTATCTACATATTAATGAAGGGAGGTAAATTGTTGTAGTATTTATAAAATATTTTGAAAATTCCAATGTGTATAATTGTCAGTGTTTGGAATAAAGTGACTATTATTATTACTATTATTAGTCCTGCAGGAAATTATAGTGGTCTCAATAGCTGTCGTAACTGTTGTAACGTCTTTGACTGATATTCGTTCCTTAAAGTTTATAGTTTGGCGACAAATATGAAACATAATCGCAGGGTCTCTTGCCGATTACTGCTAACCACATGACATCAGTCCAGTAGATATATGTGAACATGTATTTGTTTCTTCTCTTGTTTGTCTGTTATAACAGGTACACCAGTTAATCGTATCCCAATAATGGCTAAACAAGTATTAGATCTGTATGAACTATTTCAATTGGTTGTTGCACGTGGTGGCCTAGTTGAAGTTATCAATAAAAAGTTATGGCGTGAAATAACTAAAGGATTGAATTTACCCTCATCGATTACAAGCGCTGCATTCACTCTCAGAACACAGTAAGTTCTACCTTTCCACCAAAAAAAAACTAAATGTATGACTTTCCCATTTTGTGAATTAGTTTATATTTAATATTACCGCCTTTTAGTCATTTTAACTTTTCTGAATTGATCATTGAACAAGGTATTCAAGTGAAAATGTTGAGCATTTTTCATTGAATCAACACGACAAAGGGTTAGAGTGTAAATGCATAAACTTCGTTATTCACATGAATTTATTAAGAAGACACATTTCTACTGTATCGTAGCTGGAATCACTTTTAGACTTCAGTGGGTGAGTAATGAGTGTAACTCTTTTCTTATATGGCTGAAATGAATGCTCCAGTGTCGATGAAGAGTTCCACTATGGACGAAATTTGTTTTGATGAAGTCTCACAGTGTTATACAGTAATATTTATTGACGGCGCTTCGAGTACAATTTACTGCATATAATAATTCTAAGTTACTCATACAACTTTCTAACTTCATTAATATAATTCCACTATTTTTCATTTCTTGATTTGATCAGAGATAGTTAGATTGTCAGAACATAAGAATTAAGTTAAGGTTAGAATAAGTGACCCCTAGAAGATGAATAATTGAGAAAAAATCTCAACAATTGTACTGCATGCATAAACATACAACCACACAAGAGGGTAGGACAGAGTTGAAATTCTAAAATGTATTATAGATTAATGGAGAGAGAGAGTTTGATTACTGAATCTTCGTTCATTGAATAATTTATATCCAGCACATGCAATAAGAATGATTGATCACTAGTACCAGAGATATGGGAAATATTACTACCAGTGAAATCAAGAGATGAGATATAATGGAATTATATCAAAGAAGATAGAAGGTTATGAGAGTAACCTGACATGATTATAAGCGGCAATACATTGTGCTTGAAACGTCATCAATAGCTATTACAATATAACACTCACGCAAAAAAACTTGGAGGATCTGGACTTCGCCGATGATATATGTCTGATTTACCACAAACTTGAAGATATGCAAGTGAAAAGCAACAAGTTGGCAGAACAAGCATCAAAGATAGGACTTCAGGTGAACATAGAGAAGACAGAGGTGATGAAGATTCCTGGGCAACACCACTAACAGCAACAACAACAACAGACAACAATCAGCATAAATGGGAGGAACCTGAAAGAAACAACCTCCTTTACCTAACTGGGAAGCATCGTTTCAACTACAGGCGGATGGAACTGACGAGGATATCAAAGCAAGAATCGGAAAAGCAAGACAGGCTTTCACTACTCTCAAGTCGGTGTGTGTGTGGAGGTCAACAGCACTCAGCGTCAAAACTAAGATCCGGATTTTTAACTCCAATGTGAAGTCAGTGCTACTCAACATACGGATCAGAGACTTGCACTGCGCGTCATAAAGAGCATCTCAAACAAACTACAAACCTTCATTAACAGTTATCTTCTCTTAATACCACTCAAGATCAGATGGCCGGCGAGAAAAGATCAGCAACAGGGATCTTTGGGAGCGAAGCAACCAGGAACCGATTGTGAAACAAATAGGCACGAGGAAATGGAGATGGATTGGCTGGCCATACTCTGAGGAAACCATCAAGTGACATCACTAGACAAGCCATTGCTCGATTGGAACCCGAAAGGAAAGCGGCGAGTTGGTCGTGAGTGCAAGGGTGACTTCGAGGAGGTCATGTGAGGAGGAGGAGATGAAAACGTGTGGACACATGTGGAGCCAGGTGGAGACTCTAGCAGAGAACCGGACGCAATGGAGATGCACGGCTGAAACCCTATTTTCCTCTAGGAATTAAAGGAAACAATAATAATAAATATATAATATAATATAACTGTGGGACTTCATCAAAATAAATTTTCTCCATAATGGAATTATACTCTACTGCAGTCCCCAAGTTCTATTCATATATCGGTGATGACTACATCAGCTTATACATATATATATATATATGTATATATATATATATAGGTGATTTTGTGAAGAAGACTGACGTAATGAATGGATGATGTGGGAAATGAAGACAGTTTTAATATTTTAAATGTCAGCAGTACAGCCAAAGTAGCTGACCAAAATGTTTGGCTGGTTTGAACAGATTTGGCTCACTGAGCTGAGTTGAACTGCTGGATACACCGTAGATGAACTCACAGCCTTTAATTGACAGATGTAGCCAGCCGATATTTAGATCACATCGAACTGGTCAGCAATCAATATTGGTTGGTGTGAGTGGTTTTCAGCTGCATATATCAATAAGTAGAATATACTATCACTGTATAACTTGGGCAATGTGATTTATAAAAGAAGCTTTAAAACTTAATAATTACCCTGATAAATTAATCAGGAAGTATGTAGGAAAATGTAAAAATTAAATTAATAATAATAATGATAGTGATAGTGATAATAGTAATAATATTAACGACGACATTCATGTCAAACATGCACAGGTTAGTGACAAAATCAACAATAGGGAACCTCGGAAACCTTATGGAGAATTCTTGGCAATGCAGACAGGAATAAAAGTGTCTGGTATTCAAACCACCTCCAAACTCATTTAGAAATAAGCTTTGTCAGTTAAAGGGTCTTGTGGAACAGCTCATTAAACAATACAATTTAGTTTTATAAAAGAAAAGAAGGCGTTCAGCGAAGAGACTCTTTTCGGCGAATTCATTCACTGAGCTGTACAATCGCATATTTATACAATTTTGTTTGTGTGTGTGTACATTAGATTTATAAAGTTTAGATAATTATGTAATATAAGTATTTTTTTTGGCTTGGAAACAAACGTTAAGATGGAAAATAAAATAGAATTGATCAAGTCAGTAGAATTCAGATTAGGTCAGGTTGGCAACAGTGTTAGTGAGTGGTGTTTAAAATCAAATAAGGGTGGGGTTAGAGAATAATACAGTTGAAAATAAGTAAGTTAATCGGATGACGTAACGCAGTTGACTAGAAATTGGACGTGGGTCAAGTTAGTAACATTGTTAATGAGGGTAGAGATTACAAAAGGATGGGATAGAGAATAATATAAGTGAAGATGTGAAATAGTAAAATGCAAAAGACAAAATAATACAATTAGTAAGACTGAAATTAAGAAAGATTACGTCCATTGTAGATTTAATGAATGAACGAATTTCTTTTGTATGCAGAATTCAGGATTTAGGAGATGAATTGCCATTGCTTCTGCGATGTGGAGAAGTTTAGTTTAGTTTACCTAATATCCTGCCTTTAATGATTGTCAGGTCAAATACACAGGTGAAAGTAGTAGAACAAATGCAGTCAGAGTAGCCGAGCATAAAAACCTAGCAAAATCTATATCGGTTGACCCAAATAAGATAAGAAATCTGGAGAATGGTTCAGCTACATTACTCACTACGTGTAATTACACACAACCATACACTGGGATGATGGGATAAGATGACAGTTTTAAAATCTAATGTAACAGGGTGGAGAAAGAGATTGATAACGGAAGCTTTGTTTATCGAAAGAACTGCAAACACGTGTAATATGAATGATTCAACACCTGTCCATCAGGATATCTGGAAAATTCTACTACCCCAACGACGACAAATAGGAGAGGACAAAGAAAACTATAAGACTCAGTTTTCGAATTCTTGTGATTATAACTGATGGTATGATAATGAACAGTAAATTATGTTCGAAACTTCGTCATACAGAAAATAATACTATTTCACTGTGTGATATATCTAATAAACCAATTAATATGGACAGTTTTTGTTTTAACAGTACTGAAACCTTAATCATTTTCCATCAACTCTAAGCTATTCACTGAATTACTGAAGACATTGGAGAGATGTGATTTGCACATAGTAACTATGAAGTGTTTATCTTAAGTTACTTCTTTTTTAATGATAATAATAATAATAATAGTAGCTTTATTCTGAATAACGTTTATATAATGTATAGAATTTTCAGTGGAGTTTATTGCACGGTATTTTATCTTCGTCCAAAATCTTCAAATAAAAGATGTGGTGGACAGTAGGTCATGCAACACAGTTCTATCTGACCTGAAGTGCAAACCAATCCACCATTATGATATCTCTTCTTTTTCTCCTTCGAGAAATATACGACTACATTTTATTGAACTCTAATTATAAAAGGTTCAGGAGGACATTTTGTAAACGAGAGACACAACTGAGGAACGATCATCTCATGTACACTGGGATAAGCTGCCATCGGGGATAATGCTTTTTCTCATGCTTAGTAGAAACTTGCTAGTCACCAGTTTTTAAGTACTTTAAATACCCGTTAACAATGCTATTAGAGGCGATATGTTGTTAGATATGAACAAACTGAATAAGAGAAACTATATGCAATATGTTGGCGGAGGTTTTTTAGTAGCCCAAATTTTAAGCAGGCCGCCTTATGACGGTGACTTGTGTTTTAGGCATTCATAAAACTGAAAAGTCAACTTATTCAGTATCGCCTAAGACTTAGAATGTTGTTTCAACGTTATAGACTATTTTGCATTGTATCAGACAGCCTCTTAAAATCCGAATAGTGGCATACTTCTTATTCTACATAAATATAAAGTAACACATTTCTTTTGTACATTCACCTTTCAGATATATGAAGTACCTGTATCCTTATGAGTGTGAAACCCTAGGATTAAGTTCTCCTAGTGAACTTCAAGCAGCGATTGATGGAAATCGACGGGAAGCTAGACGTAGTTCCTACAGTTTTGACTATCCAACGGTGGCGGTGCCCAATGTTGGATCCCGTTCAGTATCCCCATCAAGTACAACAAATCCTCAGACTACAACATCAAATACAACAACCAATACAGAATCTGCATTAAACGTTGCCGCCACCTCATTGTCATCAACTTCAGTGTATTTGAATTCTTTAGCAGGCTCAAATGTTACAACTTCAGGGGTGAACCAAATTTTGCCAAGCATCTCTGGGAGTTCTACACCATTTTGTGCAAACAGCCTAGGGTTTAATTCTCAGTTTGGACAGTTTAATCCATTTCTTCCTATACCCCCAGGTACTTTACCTGCTGCTGGTAGTGGTGGGGTTGGTGGTAGTGGTCTGTCTATTCCGTCACCTTCCACACTACCGTCTTCATCCTCATCCTCATCTCAGATAGGAAATAATCCTGTTAATTTATTCCCCCCTGGGTTTCTACCACCAATTGTGTCTGGTGCTGGTTTCCCTATGATTGCATCCAGTTTTCAAGGTTTCAATCCGGCTACAGCGAATAATTCAGATGATTCACTGATTACATCATCGCATCAAACTTTAGGCAACCCATCAGGTGGTATTCTACCAGGTGTAGCAAATAGTTTCACAGATCCAAGTGCTATGGCAGCAGCCGCTGCCGCTGCAGCGACTTTATTCGGTGCAGGATTCCCTACAATTCCCGCAGCCTTCCCAATGACATCGCAACAACAACATCAGTCAACAACAGCATTTCCTGTACATAGTTCATTCATGAATACAGATGGGGGAATAAAATTCCCGAATATGAGTATGCGGAACCAAAGTAATAATTCTTGTGATATACATGAGAATAATCCTTCTAGAGGAGTAAATTTAAAGGTGATTTTCATTTATTTATTTATTTATATGGTGTATTAGTAATGTTATATGAGTTCTCTGTGATGAAATTCGTACCCCATGTGTATTATGTAGTGGTGAAGTCAAAGATTTTGCAACTAAGCCATTTGGGTAACAATTGACTATCAGTATACATGGGTGTATATTTTATTATATTATTCAGTCCTGGTGCCAGTTAGTCACTGGCTTCCAAATTTATCGGCTAAATATCTAATAGAAAGCTGAGATAACTAGGACTATTATCGTCATTTCCTTGGGTTACTTGTGGCATATAGGGCTTCAACAGCGGACATCTCCATTTCATTCTGTTCCCAGCAGTTCAATTTGTGCAGGTATCTCTAAGATTGCTCATAAGCTTTCATCTCCTATTCATCGTTCCTCACTCGGGTTCCACTCGGGCGATGGCCTGTCACGCGGTGTTACTCGATGGTCTCCTCAGCGTATATCCAGTCCATCTCCGTTTTCTTTAGAATATTTACTGATCAATAGGTTCTGGATTGGTTCGTTCCCAGAGTTTCTTGTTACTAATTCTTTCTGGTGAGACATTTGACCTTCAGTGTGGAGCCAACGAAGTCGGTTGTGGATGGAAGTCTGCAGTTGGCTGTTTGAAATGATATTTATGACGCGTGGACTCAAATAGAAGATTTGAATTACCATTGGGGTTGATTATCTGAATTTTGTTCTTTATTCTGAATCGATTCAGTCTATTAAAATCATACTGGATGATGTTGGCAATTGGAAATAATAACAAACTAAATTTAATCACGGACTGATATCAGTTAGAGAATCATTGAAAACTAGTACTGGAGTACCGGACACGTGCTTCGTCCTAGCTCAGGACTCATGGGCAGTACGCACCCATTTGGTTTCAAATCCTCACAAACAAACTCTCGGAAATTAATCTGATGCTCGCTAGTGACTACTGCCCACAGGACGAATTTGATTGGAGTGAGTGAGACCAGTCGTGACCAGTGGGGTTCATCAGGTCGGGGGAGGGGCGGGTGTGAGGAAAAATACTAGTACCAGTCACGGTAAAATCACGAATAAGTAGAAGTTGCGATTTATGGACCACTGAGTCACGTCTAAGTGGCTGATTGGTATGGGAGTTAGCTTTGTAATTGGGAGGTCGTGTGTTCGAACTCCGTTGGTGGGTGAGTACTTCCGATGAGTCGCAGACTAGGACGAAACAGATGTCCAATACTCCAGTATTGGTTTCCAATGCTTCTCTAAAGTTATATTATTTCGTGCTCAAACTTGTTACAAATCAAACTGCTGCAAAACAAACTCTTGAAAATAAACTAAATATTCCACTTCAATGGATCGATGACCGTTTTACTGAATTAATGTTAATTTAATACTCAAAGATAAAGATTGAAATGAAAGGAATACCAAGGTTGAGAAGCAGCTCAATGGATGGTAAATAAACCAGGATACGAGATTTAATGTCTGACTATATCATAGTTTATTTCTGATTACTAAGATACAAGCATGAATTTCAGGTTGATAAGTCTACTGCCAATGTCCACTCGACCCCTTTACAATGTGCATTGAATATAAATCTCTTATCCAAGTGCTAACTGTTTGCCGAACTGACAGGTCAAGATAGAATCTTGCTCAAAAGTGATTCATTTCGCGTTGTTAAATTTTATAATTTCGTGAGTGGGTTGGAATTATCTGCGTTGGAATCCAATCGCCTATCTCTCCTCCATTGCGGCTGACGCCATCTGGAGAGAAAGCAAGCTGGTGAATGTGTTTGACCGTTTAACTGCCAATCATTAAACTGATAACCGATGCCTGCCACTCCTGTACCATTTGATAGAAGCTATGCTTATTCGAAATAATGATAATAATAATGATCTGCTTTATTCCAAAAAACAGTAATTATAATACAGTGTGAAATTTCCAGCATTTGTCTCAATATTGCATCTAATTTACTCAAAATATAAATAAAATTAACCGCAGGATCTTTTCCGGAATAATATCAAAAATGTACAAAGTATAAAGTGAGAATAATTACCATAATAATAATAGGTTTGTTTCAGTCTATATTAGGACAAGATGATTTTGAGCGAACAATGGGGATTTTTAAACATTACTGTCGATACAGTGTGGAATCTTTGCAGCATGTTATAGAATGTTGAATCTAATATTCTATTGACGTAGCATGTTGAGGGAGAGACAAAAAATACTAATAACAATTATTACAGGGCTAAATGGTGTTTACAATCATGAAAAACCAAGGAGGCTATAAATGTAGCAGTAATAATAACAGTAAGGCTTGATGGCATATTATTATTATTATTATTCTCTTGGGTTCCTAGTGGAACATACGGCTTTAACTGCACGTCTCTACTTGCTTCTCTCTTCTGCTGTACTTTTCACTTGCATCCATGTTAGTCCATACTGTTTCAACTCTTCTTCACACAATCTCCTCCATGTCACCCTTGGATGTCCCACTCGCCACTTCCCTTTCGGGTTCCACTCGAGCACTGGCCTGACGCGTGATGTCACCCAACGGCCTCCTCAGCGAATGTCCAATCCATCTCCACTTTCTCCTGCATAATTTTTGGACGATTGGTTCCTGTTTTGTTCGTTCCCATAGCTTCTTGTTTGTGATTCTTTCCGGCCATCTATCTGATCTTCAGTATAGAACGAAGACAGCTGTTGATAAAGGTGTGCAACAGGCTGTTGGAAACATTCTTTGTGACACACTGGCCAAGTTTCTGATCCGTATAGCAAAACTGACTTGACGTTTGCATTGTAAACCCGAATTTTGTTGTTGATCTTGAGTGACGTAGATTTCCAGATTGGTTTCAGGTTGATGAGTGTGTTTCTCGCCTTCCCGATTCTCGCTCGATTTGACATCCTCGTCCGTTCCTCCTGTAGTTGAGACAATGCTCCCTAGATAAGTGAATGAAGTAACCTCTTTCAAATCCCTGCAGTTGATGGTCAAATATTAATGCTTGTTAGCTAGATCAAAGTGATCAAAATACCGGGAGATTGTTGCGTATGTTTGTCGCCGCATTTATCAGTGGTGTACTCGGTTCAGATAGTATAGTATAGTCTGAATGTTCTTCATTCCCAAAAGGAAACGTGTAATTTTAAAGCTGTGAGTTTGATCGTCTTTACTTGTTTGCTTTCTTTTCCTCACTCGTCCTCACTCATTCCCTTCCTTTATTTGTCATTTTTTACACCTACAGAATAAATTGTCTTTACAAGATTCGGATGACTGTCAATTCTCATCAAGTCTCCCGTTAAATCTGACAGCCAGTGATAACAGCATTAACAGTAATATCATGAAATTAGATGAGAAAGGTAAACTCTACTTTAAATTTCTGTATTCCCATCCTGTTTTTAAGCATTCAATTTGGATAATTTATGTCATCAGTGGTATTTTAGAAGGAGCACAATTAATTCTAGGAATAACTTTTATTATTCACCTTTGAAATGGTAGTGATAGTTCACAGTTAATTATCATTTCCCCAAATGGCTTTCGTACTAATGTCCGTTATTGCGTGGGCTGGAATACTAGCCGGTAGCCCAGAATGAAGCAGGTTGTTGCCAAAATGGCAATTAATTATATATTGATCAGTGTCTGTTAGTATGGAATGTGGTTAGCGCCGTCTAAGTGCAGAGTACTGTCACAAGACTGGCAGAAGCATATACTCACCTGCAAGCACTCTTTCAGGTGAACTACTTGGAGTTGTTGACAAGTTCGTGTATCTGGGTAGTTTTGCGAATGCTGGAGGAGGTGTGATGGATGGGACTTTTAACCGTGTAAGGAGAGCTAGGATAGCATACGCTAATTAAAGTTACCTCCAGCGCCGTCATGACATCAGCCTGACTTTCAAAGGTAGGATTTTCAGTGCTTCGGTGAGTGCAGTCTCGCTCTACGCCTGTGAAACCTGGCCTCTTCAGGTAGGCTGAGGGTGTCCCCCGACTCTGTGTATTCGACCATCGCCGTCTATTTAGAATTCTTTACGTTCGATATTATTATCATGTGAATAAATCTGAGGTGCAGCAGAGTGTGGAGATCACCATTCAGTGGGTGTTGTTGTGATCTGGAAATACCGGCTTCGGCGGATTGGACGTGTGGTACGAATGTCATCTCAGAGGTTTCTGTATTGGTCTGTATTCGCTAGTCCTGGGACTGGATGGGAAAAACCAGGAGGTGGTCAGCCTATGAAATGGAGTCGTAGGATGAAGGATATTTGTGTTAGGTTAGCATCGGTTGGTGCACCACGACTCGCTGGTTGTGGTCCGAGAGATAGCGTGAATCGGTGGCTCGAAACGTTATCGGATATGGCCAAGAATCGCAATCAGTCGAGAAAATGCTGCGATTTGCTTCCTTATTCCTTTAGTCATGCTTGTAGTATGGTCACCATTCTAGGTGGTGGCTTACCACCACGATGCACTCTGAATTGTTTTTATCAGTTGGTTGGAGGCAACCGGCAGGAAGCCTTGACTAGACCTAGGTTTCGTGCAGAGTGTAACATGGTGTCTGCACCAAACAAAGGACTAGACGCATTGCACTAATTACTTAGTGCCTAGTGTTCAGTCAAAGTATTTGATACAGCAGTCCTACAGGAGGTCAATCGCGTGATCCCGAGTAGCTACTCAGTCGTAGCGTCTCTGCTGGTAATATTCACTGGGTCGTGATACGAGTTTGGATCTCAGAGAGGACATCAGTCTCTTCAAAGCTGCAAATACGCCTTGCTGACTGGTGAGTACCAGTAAGACACAGTCTGATTTTGGTTGCCTCCAGCTATCTAATAATAACTTGCTGTTGCGTTTTATAACATATATTCAGTTAGTAAGATTCGCGTTCAATCCTTCATTGTACTGAAACCTATTACTGCAAAAAATTCTGATGCTCACTAGCAGTGGCCCTATTTGGGTAGGTAGTTACCTGCATTTTAGTGAGAAATCTTGACCAGTGGAATACAGAAGGTTGGGTGCGAGAACAAATTCTCGCCACGGATGACACTGGCTAATGCCAGCGGCGCTAATATCGAAAATTGGCGGAAACTGTAATTCATGGGCTGGCCATTGGATCAGGTCCTAGTGGCTTGACTGTCTAAGAGCTCGCCTTGAAACCGGATGGTCGTGAGTCCGAACCCCACTTGTGAGTGGGCACTGATGAAGAGTCCTGAACTAGGTTAAGACAGCTGTCCAGTATTCCAAGGTTTTCTGATGGTTCGCTAACCGATGTCAGTTCATGATGAAATCCTGTAACCAATCAAATCCCTAGAAGTTAATTGGTGGATGATGACTAGCGGTGAAATCCAGGATGCACATTTCGTCCTATTTGTGACTCGTCATCTGGATGTACCTGCATTCCGTAGTTAGTGAAGGTGTTCCCACAGGGACTCAAACCCAATGCCCGTAGTTTCAAACGCTATAGCATTATCCACTAGACCATTTGAGACCGAGCACTTCGGTCCAATCAGTCGACGAGAAAATCTAAAATTGAATTAAACAATCAAATTCCTGCAGAGCAACACTTAAAAATTCCTTTATTTTACTCCACACAGGTGCAGCACATTCAAATAATGACCGGAGAACACCATTAATTCAAATGGATCATGATAATTTAACCAAAATCCAGTGTGATCCAGAAAATGCCTCACTAAAACTCCACTCCACTGATGGGTATATTGAGAAAGATGATGAAAATGAACTGAGTGATTCGATGGGTACACTGAAGAATTTCAGCTACCATCATCATCAAAATGAAGACGGCGAAAATTATGATGATAACTCAATGAATACTGACCGACTATTTGACAGTGAAACAGAACACTCAGAGCTGAGGTGTAAACCCGAATTATTATTAGGTGGCGTTAACAAGCATGAAGTTATCGGCAGTAATAACAATAATACTAGATTGTCACAAGCTGGTCTGTCCTTTGAAAACGAGGAGTCAAATATGAAAACTGCTGCACAGGTTTGTTATTATTATTATTATTGTGACTACTGTTACTGAATAAAAAATGTCACTATATCTGAATTACTCCAGTTAGTGGGTCTGAGAAACATTGTGCAACCTTTATTCTTTTGGTTCTCCGAACCTGAACTCCAACAAACATGATTTCTCTTCTTATCTAGTTGTGAAGCGTAGAAGAAACTGAGTGAGTGAGCTGACGTTGTACTGTTTACAAGCCATAAGAATATAGCAGAGTCATGGATGGAAATTCATAAAATCCTCCAGGCCAGCCGTCTATTTCATGTCAAAGGTTATTCCACCTAGTTTCTGTTTGTGATGAGTGTGGAATGATAATTAAAGTACCACTGAATATGCAGGTTTAAACAAACCGCAAGCAAAGATTATTTCCAACCCAATATTTGCTCAATAAACTATAGATTATTATTATTACCTTAGGTTCTGATGGAAACATAGGGCTTCCACAACACATCTCCGAAACTGTTCTGATGGCTGTAGTGAAGCTATCCTTTTTAGTCTCGTTCTTGAGTTTCTGATTGTTGGACTTGAATTATGGTTTGTCTCCAGTCGCTTTGAAGGCTTTCAACCAGACCTTGAAGGTTCCTTGAACTATATAATGGTCAGAGTCCGCATCTGCTTCTTTTTCGATTCTGTTTTCAGTAGACTATGTTTCCACTTTCTTCATAAAATGATGAAGCCTACCTGATTTCCGGTTTGTCGGTTAGATTAAACGCATGTCACCTTGTGTTTATTCTTGTGCTGGAACATACCATCTGCAACCACCGAAATATTGAGGGCGCAGAAATCTGCTAAGAATTCTTCATTATCACTCATTTCACCAAGAGCCTCTCCACCTATGATGGGTTCTCTTCCTATACTTTCTGCACCCAGTTTGGCATTCATTTTGCCTACAAGGATTTTGGTGTCACCATTTGGGATGTTATCCGTTACTGTTCGCAGTTGTCCATGAAAGTCTTCTCTTGTTTCGAGCTGTTTGTAGGTGCGTATCACTGGATGATTGTAGCCTTCCTTCCTTTTGAGTTGAATCTTGTTGTCATGATCCTGTAGGAGAAGATTGGTTCCCACTGCATTAGGGCTTTTACTGCCACTGGTGACTCATGTTAGCCACTCACAACCTGAATGTGCTTGTGGTTGTCGTCTGTGTGACCAGACCGGAGTAGATTACTGACTCTCCAGTTGACAATTTTGATAATCCACATCCCCTCTATCTGCTCTCGCAAATACTCACCACATCTATGCCATATCTTCTCATTCCTTTGACTACCTGGGCAACCTTGCTAGCCTCGTACATTGTACAGACATTCCACGTCCCCATTCTTATTCTTGCTTTCATCGAAAGAACACACATTAGTTGGCTGACTGGATTCCCGAAGGCTTTCATAAGCCAAACCAAGTCATTTCGCCTATCCGATTCAAGAGAAGAATAAGTTTGTCTCTTAAATTTTTCTGTAGTCATGAGGTTAATTTTCCATGGCAGGGTCGCTAGCCACATGCCCAAACTTCATTCTTTTTCCGGGCTTGGGAACCGCTAGAAAACTAGCTAGCTAGTAAAGTAGGCGAGGTTAATAAACTACTTACAGTCTTCTTTATTCTTCAAGTTTATAAATGCTTATCAACCTTTTCAGAATTATGTGTAGTATATTTCCCAAGTTTTGATTTAGTAAGTCGTAATTATTCACTAGGCGATTTATTTTTCGTCTGCTGTGTATTGTAACGATCAGCGTTATAAATTTTATGCGTTTAGTATGAAACTTCCATAAAAATACATCCAGTTATTTCCTTGGATCATAATTTCCACTTTGGCGTATTGTTTTCTCCAATCTTATTCCATCTAGATGGCGTGTCAACAACTTTGGGTTGCAGCAGCCGCCGCGGCAGCCGGATTACACTGTGGTGGTAATAGCATGAAAACACCAGACACAGCCAGCTTCACATCACTGTCAAGCAGTTTAAACGGTCCAATGACGAAAAGCAATTTTCATGCTTCAAATTCTCATCATCAGTCATCTACAGAATCATCCACTAATAATAGCAGTACTCATACTCATAATCACAATAGTAACAGTAATAAATCTCTCCAACATCACTCATCATCGTATTCAAGGTCTACCGGTAAAAAATCTCATTCCCGTACCCCAAACAGTTTAGATCTACCAAACAGCAAAATATCCAAACTTTCTTCTAGTAACACTAACACGAATAACAACAGTAATGAAACTGGCGGCAAATCTTATTCATCGACATCATCGACAAATCTTTCGTCAAAAAAATCACAGAATTCCATATCTGATCTACGCAGGTCAACTGATGCAATCACACTATCAACCAGTTTCAGTAACACACTGGGTTTAAATAACAGTAATGGTAATAATAACAATAACAGCAATAGTAATAGCAGTTTCGCAGCAGCTCAGGCAGCCATAGCAACGGCACAAAATCTAAGAATTCAAACACAACCTGGTAAGTTCAAACAAATAAAAAGGGGATACTGAATAGTTTATTATTACTTTTACGATTATATTTGGCTGTTATGAGAATAGCAAATCAATTAGAAAAAATGTACATCAGTTTGTATACTATTCATTGACAAAAGTAGTCGTAAACTGCTTCAAACACTGAACGGCCATTTTCTTCCTCTTATTATTATTATTCCCTTGGGATTTGAGTGGAGTATAGGGCTTCAGCAGCACATCTCCGTTTCAACCTGTTCTCTGCAGTCCTCTTCACCTCGCCTCACGACTGTTCATAAGTTTTCATCTCCTCCTTGTCACCATCGCACCACAGCACAAGTCACCATTTCTCACTCAGGTTAAACTCGGGGAGATCTGGTGTGAGATATCTTCCGACGGCCACCTCAACCTGTGTCTAGTCGATCTCCACTTTCTTCTACATATCTGTTTGGCAGGAGGTTCTCGATTAACTCGTTCCCAGAGTTTCTTGATGACAATTCTTTCTGGCCGGCCGACAATCTGATCATCAGTATGGAGCTAGTGAAGGCAGCTAGTGACAAAAGTTTGTTGCTGTCTGTTGAAAGTGCTTTATGTGATGTAGTGGCCAATTTTCTGACCAATTTATAAGATATGACTGACTTAATATTGAGGTTAAAAATCTGAATTTCTTCCTCTGTGTTGAATACAGAATACTGATTTCAGAGTAATGAAGGTCTGTTTGGCTTTCCCGATTCAGACTGGCTTCAATATCCTCATCCTTGCCGTCGCTTGTAGTTGAAACGATCCTTCCTGGCCAGAAAAGGGAAGGAAGTGACCTCATTCACATTTCTTACGTTGATAGTGATTGGTGCTTGCCGTGGTTAACTGGTTGGTTAATCATACACAGTTATAGGCAATATACGTCTACCATATATTAGAGTCACAGTTTGCTCATATCTTCCATATTGTGCTACTTCTGTCTTCTGCACTGTACTTCTTTATCTTCCTTTCATGTTTTCCATGCTTTGTTTCACAAGCATCGTTTATTTCTTCTCCTCGCCATTAAATCCATCTCTCCGCTATTCACTGTCCTTTGAGGATGATATACATATTTTTGTACCTGCATCTATATACTACTTATAAATCTTGTCACTAGTACATGCCACAATATTAACATCAGTAATAACTGTCCAAATTATTAACAGTTCACTATATGGTTCAGGTAAATTTGTATTTCTCCTGTTCAGTACGTAACATACAAGCTGTACTGTTGAATTACGTCGAGGCCCAGGTTTTCTGTTAGGTTCACTAGTTAGCCCAGAAGGATCTTAACCGTAACAGTGTTTTATTTGGTTGACGGTTCGGTTAGCAGAGGAATCCCACGACGCGTCTTTCAGTCTATTTAAGGCTGGCTAGTTGATCATACCTGCATCCGTAACGCGAGTCGAACTCAGTAGCCACAGTTTCAAACGCCAAAGATTTATCGGGCTGATGAATCCCAAAATATACAGAAACGTATTTCGTGGATTCCAGTGCTCACAACTACCAGCCACTTAACATCGTGTAAGGCCTTAGACATCGCCAAATCAATCATTCATGATAGGAGTAAAGACATGTTTTTGCATCACACCTAATTTATGTCCTTGGATTCTTAGTCGAAGGGGACCGATTTAATTTTTATCATAGTTCATGCAGTTTAAGTGGTATTTCGTAAGTGGTATTAATTTTATCTTCTTTTTCTGTTGGATATTTTGGTCTCCACACTATCGAATGAAATGACTGTGTTCGCTTGTGTGATATATCTATTTCAAACGGGTTTATTATTCTAGCCATTATTTTATAGATATTCTTTATGTATGGTAGAGTGAATTTTCTTATGGTCTTTGATAGCGGGTTTTTATTGGTATTATGACTTAAGTGGATACTCATTCTTTTCACAGACAATTAGTAGATATCTGTCTTCTATTCTCTTCAGCATTGGAGGGCTGTAGTGTGTTTGAACTCTTTTAAATAATCTCTGCACACAGTTTCTTTTGTGAGTAATTGGGTTATTGCTATTATAGTTGTGTATTTGGTCTGCATGCGCTGATTTGCTGCACAGTTGTTTTTCTAAATTGCTTGTATTGGTTCTCTTGATTAAGACACCTAAGAATGGAATTTTGTTGACTAATTGTTCTTCTCTTATGGTGAATTTAGTGATTTCAAATATATTGTTGATTAATTTGCAGGTGTATTCTAAATCACATTTCTTTTAATTATTACTAATGTATCATCAACATAACATACCCAGACTTTTGGTTTAATTATATGTAGGTAGGGAAGGCTATAAATTCTAATCTTTGCATAACACCTTCAGCTATTCATCCTGATATATGATCAGTCCCATTGGTGTTTCTTTTATCTGTTCGTATATCTAATTATTGAACTGGCAATGTGTTGTACGACATAAGTGATTCTATAAGTTCCATCCAAGTTGAACTCTTTGTTTTTGTGTTTTCATCGTCATAGACTAGTTGTTGCATAGATTCTTTCACTAGTTTGGGATCAGTTGAAGTGTATAATGCAGTGACGTCATCAAATGACACCATTCTTTATTTCATTGTCATCAACTTGAGGGTTTTCGATGTGTTCTCTCTGTAAAAATTGGATTGGCGAGTTGATAGAATGGTTGCATGATTCTGTTAGGTATTTAAACGTTTGGAAAATTGGTAGGCTTATGTTGTTTGACTGGATAATCTCTGCATAGCTAAAAAAGAAAGTCAACTGTTGTTACTCTACTATGTGTATATATATTCAGGTCATAAAGTTAAATGAAAAATGATGCTAGAATTATTGTCCATTTCTTCGAATTTTAATAATTTGAACGAACACATAATAATATAACCTTAAACATGACATTCATAGTTTTATAATGAACCAGGGAAAGGCAATAATTATATAAGTAAGCATCTTATTCTTATATATTTTCAATTATCCTTAGCATCATTACATTCATTTCAGGTCATCAATGGTACATTTTACATGAGGAGAGAAAAAAGTAACATAATTATACTTCGTGTCATTAAAACATTTGTTCCCTCCACTGACAACGAAGAACAACAAATACACCACTTCATTTTAGTTGACCTTACGTAGAAATGAAACGATATTTCTCGGTGTGTGTAAAGCAGTATAATCTCCTTAATAATTCTTAATTTTAATACTACTACTACTACTACTACTATTAACAATAATAATAGTAAAATAATGAAAAAAATACTTTCTTAAGGCAGTGAAAACAGCTAACTCTGTTGTTGAATGTCATTTTTTCATTCCCGCGTATTCCACAAGACGAATTCCACAAATTAACAACAAAAACATCGAATTTATTTAAAACAAAATAATTTTTAGGTCAGGTCATTGATAAATAAATACTAATCGGTAGGATTAAACAAAAAAAAAAAACACTTTCAAAATTAAGCCTAGGTAGGTACATAGAATGCTAGATAGGATAAGGACATGGCGTGCATCTCTGTTCGGCCACTCATCCCACCCGTACATAGAAAGTACCATGTAATGTATTTAAAATGATCTTGTTAGTAATGGTAATAATAATATTAATGACAATAAATATTCGGACAACTGGGAAGTTTGTTTTCATTATTCAATGTTCTATGGTTTTAGGCTTAGACTAAGTGAAGATTAGAAGAATAAACAAGCGGTGATATGCATTACTGTCTCATAATACACTGTATATATCATCATTATTATTATTTCTGGTGATTTTACTTTCCCCATGTGCCTATTTTGCATAAATACATATTTTATTATTTTGGTTTTCAATTGCGGTAAAATTTTTATACAGAAAAAAGTGTAAACAACTGTTTTCCCTTTTTTTTAAAAAAGATTTTTGTTTTGTCTACTGATGTTGTTTGTTTGTTCGTTTGTTTTTGTGTAAAAGTCTCAGTCATAATTCTTTCTTCACCACAATCATAGAAATCTGTATCGTGTTTGTACGTGCAGTGTGTGTGTGTGTTTGCGTGTGTGAGTGGTGATCTGATCTTTATCGCCCACAGGAATCAGGTAGAGGAGTAGGTTTGGGGTGGGGGACGGTACTAGAGGTAGTATCGACGTACCACCACATTTCCCACTGATGAATAACACTACCCTCTCCACTACCCTTGTAAATAGTATTCTGTAGTATTATCTTCTGGAGAAGAGGCATTATTTCTGTTTTTATGTATGTATGTTTGTGTGTGTGGAAAACCTTGTTCATGGGTATAATAAATCCAGCATTTTAAAAGTCGACATTCGAAATAAAGGCAGATCGATGGATGGATGGATGGATAGATGAATAAATTAATAAATACAGAGATAGATTGTGAATACTATTCAACACTAAGATAAGTTGGAATACATGAAAAGAAAATAACAAGGCAATGTGAAAAACAAGAAGGCAATGAAACTTTGATTGATAGTAATGTATATGTATGATGTAGAATGATAAAATAGAATTGTACTACCACCATATACCTATAAATCTATGTATATATACGATATACATGTATACATAGAAGGTAAACATGTCTTTTTAATGCGTGATGATAACAAGACGATATAACAAAAAGACGCTGTTTTTAAAATTTTCGGCGAAGGCGTAAGATGATCACACTAGAGGAGAAGGAGAAGACGAAGAAGGGGAGGAGAAAAGGCAAGTGAAATTAATAGTGTTCAAGATGAAATTCAAAGGAGATGATGACGAATAGAAACAGTTGGAAGAATTTCAACAACCTAGTTATATATATGAACATTAACAAGCCTAGAATAGATGGATAGCGAGGGGAAGGGAGTAGGAGCAAAGCAGAATGAATCAATTAATAGAAATAAACTGGTGATTTATTCTTCAAAGTGGAAAAAGATGTTTCCATGTTTTCAAGCATCTGGTTGATAGGTTGGTTGGCAATTAATTAGAACAATAATGATAATAATAATAATAGTAGTAATAATAAGATGTGAAATAGTTGTATTGAAGCGGTAGTGTGTACGAGAGTG